CCCTATATCTAGTAATCTCCCGACTATTCCCGAAGGTTCGAGAGGTGGCGTGACACTAGTCACGTGACCTCGCTGACGCAACAGTATATTATTATACTTGAAGTTTTGTTAAATATGTATGATACTTGTTAATTTACTTATACAACAGCATATTTGGTTACAACAAAACGTAAATTTTATATAATAAAATCACAGAACACTCAGTTGTATAATTTTAAGTGAAAAGATAATTCATGTTACTGAAACATTGTTCCAAAATCTTTGTGAGGAAAATTTCGTTGAAATAATCAAAGATTAATCACTTGATTTATAACTAAAGGTCCTTTTACGATTATGCTCATTTGTGTTCAAATGTACATAAAATGAAGTTTGAAAGATACAGAAATATAATTTCTGGTTAATAGAAACGAAAGCATTACTCGTTTTAGTCTTAGGTGACACAAAGGGTCAAAGCTTTCCAATCAAACAGCAGTCTTGACATCAGACAGAGGTTTATCTCAATGTCTACTGAAGAAGAAAGTACTTTAAAATTGGAAAGTTTTATGAATTTTAATTATATAGTACTTCGAGTGCATGGTAAGTGTTGCTATTTTAAATATATCTATAATAGTAAAATTATTAGTTAAAGAGTGTGTCAGTCATTTATTATATTTAGATGTAGCAAAATGACCTTCAGATGGAAACATCTCTCGACAATAGTAATCCTTTAAACTTTAGTGACTTATAAAGCTAAACATGAAAATAAGCATCCTGTTCAAGACAAATAGATGTTAGTTAAAGTAATTAAAATGTTAGGAAATGCAAAAAGTATGATTAAATATAGAAGCAAAAACTTTAATCAGTACCTTCAATTAATATCACCTGTCTTGTTCAATAATTATAAAAACATTAGGTTTGATAAGATCCTTTGATGACAGATAATTATGGGCTATAATATTTGCCTTGTTCAAATGATGTGTGATAAATACTGACATGCAACAGAATTATAATAAATGCCTCGTTAAAATATTAGTTTTACTTTGGATACATACTTAAATCTACACATTGATGACGTAATTGCATGTTGAGACACTATGATGACATCATCATGGTGGCCTAGCAATGGTCCCTCTGGTTCCATTGTTTCTGGTCAATTTCTACCCGTCATGGTGCCAGTGCCCTGTGGTTCCACTTTGTGGGACTATGACGACACACCTAGCAACTCTCTCTCTCTGTCTTCCACTTGTCAAGGCATCATTAAAACGCGCCCTTTGGTGACACTTCATGGAACTATGATTTTATCATCACTGGTGTCTATGACATCATCATCTCTACTTCCTCCTTCCCTACTGGCTGGGGTGGACATATGTATGGCGCCCTCTGGTGGTGTGCTATGCAACAGCCCAGGTAACTACTCATGTATGTTCTTGTTGAAGGCACAAAGCCAAAAAACTTAAACAAACGAAAAAATAATTTTGAAAAATTCTCTGGAGTTTGTGGTCATTTCATTGATTCAATAATTTTATGTCCTAAAATCTTGGAGGTTTACAAACTGTTTAATTGCTTAAAATCAAACAAAATAATGTATGTAAAAACCTGAAAAGAGAAAACAAATGTATTCAGATGCTGAAACAACCTAAATATAAACAATGAAAGCAAGAGTTAGATTTTTAAGGATGTTTTGTAGATTCTTGAAACAACACAATCATAGAATAACTGTATGAATTATAGTTTTAGGACAATTATAAATAGCCATAATAAACTGAAATCACATAATATGTAGATATTAAATATTGGAGGGTAATTTCTAGAGTATCTAAAAAACGTCAAACAACACAATAAAGATGTGGATTAACCTCTGAAAACAAAAAAGGTTTTGTCCAATTTGATAAGTTTTACCAAAGTACATAATTCTGGTGATATTACACATTTCTTTCTTTTAAACAAAAGTAAAATTGAAAATATAATCTGAAATGTAGAGGCCAAAGAAAAGTGATTATGAACAACTTTAAGCATAATATTTATAGGACTAACACAATTGTAAAAAGTAAGATTTAAATTAAACAAAAGCAGGTTGATTTATACTTAAGTGATTTCTATATAGTTATTGTGAACATGTAATTAGGATGTAAACAATAATTTTAAACTGGACATAATAAATACCAGAATGATGAAACTATGTATATATTTAGATGTGAACTTTTGTTTTCATAGTTAATATTATTGATTGATATCTCTGGTAAACGTTTATTATTGTTTATTTACTTACAATGTTATCCTAAATTATAACAATGTTACAGCGGAAAAATTATATAGAGGTTCAGTACATTATATTAAAATGACTTTGAAGCCCCCTCATGTCGTTAGAGTCCGTGTCATCACATCTGGTCATGCTCTTTATGATAGCAGTACATTTTGACGATAGCAATGCAGTATAGTTTCCATTGTGAAATGTTTCGTCGTAAATATATCGTGTCAAAAGTACATCACTGCTTTTTGAAGACTTTCATAAGCCATTTAGTGTATGAGGAAAGCAGTTTTCTAGTAGCCATTTTAACAGTCCGAAGCAAAGAAACCCAAATACATTGCAGCTATTGACTTTGTATTGGATATCATGAATACCCATTTCATTCTCCACCTACTTAGGTGTAAAATGGTTGATTAGATACGTCTTGGGAGCAACTTTTGTATACATGGTTTATGTCGATTTTTCCAGATGGAGATCCTTTTCCATTACATTGGATATTGTTGCCTTCAGCACGTGGACGACTTTGGCCACTGACCTTTGTGTACATTGATTCTCACCTACTACAAGGTGCAACACTTGAATTACCACAGCTGGGGTACAACTTATTATTACAAGTTGCGTTCTGGGTGGTCCTAGAGCCTCAAGTTGATCCATATTCTCTTTTTTATCCTATTCCATTAAATAGAAGGAATATTTAAATCTTAGAAATTCTAAACAATCGATTTTAACACATCTTTATGATCTGACAGTATGAATATTTTGTGTTGGAAAACCTGTTATATCCCTTCTTCAAAAGTAATCAGTTTTCTGTGGCATCACACTAGCTACAAAACGACAAACAATATCAAAATATAGGACCAATACATGCCATTACATCGCGACTTTATATCTCTGTGGTGATCACGTGTCTTGGTGATTTGCATCTTCAAATTTTTTAACCTTTTGTATAAAAATATGTCTACAGCAGAGACATATTAGACATATATATATCTATTTTTTGCATAGCTAACATTTTTTGTTGTGTTAGGACAAGTTAGACAGTACATTTTCTTCAAAATTAGAACAATGTTTTACTCCAAACAACAAGTTAGACATATTCTTCCAATGAATTAGAACAAGTTTTAGAATATATTCTTTCACAGTTATCATAATGAAAACACATTGATTACTATAATATTTTGTAAAACTATTTTAAATGTAACGACACGTTCTCTTTTATATCTAATCATGTTATACAACATGTTAGAAAACTTTGACGACATATTATTTCTGAAACTAAGAAACGTTTAATGTATTGATTCTCAAACAACTAATACAAGCAAGACAGTTTTCTTTCACTCTGTAAGAAGTAAAAACTGAACATAATCTTTAAAAAGTGTGGATAAGTTAAAAAATATTTTACTCAATAAAAAAACAAAAACAAAATACAATATGGGCAAAATACTATAGTGGAAAAGTCTAATGCATCACCCAAATGTTTGAAATCATCATCTGTTTTGAAGCCCTAATTTGTGTAGGTGCAAATGTGTTTCATGGATGATGCAATACTGTCTAATTATTACACCAGCAGCTTTACAGGCTATCTGGGTATTGCATCAGCCATTTTCGGCTATAACTACAGGTTTTTACTGAGAGTCAACTTAGAAGCTTATCTGCTACAATGTGCGTGTGTTGCTACCATGACCAAAGGTTGTGAGTCGACTCCCTGGAAAACTAAGTCTTTGTTTCTTTGAGCAAACATTCGACAAGGCAGAATGCTAGAAGAATTACATTTAACCATTCTACTATGAGCTGCTGGATGCAAAGCTAGAGAGGGACTAGTTGTTTACACTGGCAAAAGGGAAGGAGTAGAAAGGAAGCTTCTACAGCAGCTGACGATTGTATTTTGCAATGCATGAGCTTAAAGAATCGTCGGCTATCGTCCACAGATCTCAAAAGATCATGGCAGGAAACTTCAAGGTGTCACTCTGTGAACCACCAGGTCTTGCCTATGTTCAGATGGTCTCACAACAAGACAGCCAAAAAACAAATCCTAATACTAACAAGATGAGGAAGATGAGACTAAACTGAGCCAAAGAGCGTGCTAACTGGCCTGAAGCAATTTGGAGCAAAGTGATCTTCTCAGATGCATCAAAGTTAAACCTGCACGAATCTCATCACAAGCACTTTTTACAACATCAGTGTGGAGAAGAGTTTCGTCTACCATGCTTGAATGCAACTATGAAGCATCCACAGAGTCAAGTTATATGATAATCCATCTGTGGCTAGAGTTTAGGATGCGTGTATTTTGTGAAAGGGGTTGTCAATGCCGACAAGTACATCAAGATTGTCGAATCCTGGTTGAGGCCAAAAATGTAGGACCACTTCAGTGGAACTGACCAGTACACATTTTAGGATGATTCTTCTCCATGCCACAGGGTTAAAAAGGTCGGTTAATATTCATGTATTCTATACAGTGGAAGTGAAAGAAAGAGGAAATTTAACTTTACGTGTTTTGAAAAGATGCCTTAGGTTTTATTTCATTGCTTGAGGTGAAGGACCATCTTCAAAAAGAAAGGAAAAAATGATGTTCACAGAGTATGTTTCTTACTCTAGTTTATGGTTGTGTCCCCTCTGGCATTCACACCTGCTTGACATTGCCGTCACATAGAGTGCTCGAGGGACTGACTGTAGACAGGAGTGAGTTCATGATATCATACGTAGATTAGGGTTTCCTGAACTTCCAAGATACTTCTCGGATTCTTCTCTCGCACTTTTATACCCATTGCTTTCCAGCAGTTTTGATAAGGTTGATATCTGGGCTGTTACCTGACCAGCATAGTATCTTCTTCAATTACATTAGTGGCATTATCTTTAAATCGAGATTTACTCACTTGGAGAACATTTTTGTATTTGCCAAGTATTTGTTAATCATTTGCTTTAATACGTTTGTCACAGTTGGTTTGTTAATAAATACGTATATATGTGTTTGGATGACTGAAATATGAGTTAACTTACACCAGAAAAGGCCCATAACCGTTTTACACTTGTTCTGACATTTCCACAATGCACAATCTCGTAAAAAATACTGGAACCAAAGAAAATGTGAAAAAATTGGGTGACGCAATAAATGTTTCCACCACTGTAGAAAAATACTACTATTTCCCTTAGCAAGAAAAAGTAGAAATATATTATTTTGTACATATATGATAAATTTGACAATCTATTATTTTGACTTACAAGAAAAAAATTAATCAATGCACTTCATATAATTAACACTTGTTGCATAATTTACATATTTTATGATACAGCATCGATAGTTATGCGATATATTCTTTTGTATGGCAGGGATTATCTAAACAGTGTACCTCTTTTCTCACAAATTGGTAATATTTGACAAAGTGACCCTTTACGACTAACAGTTTCTGATTTAGTGTTTCTGTGCTACCCAAGTAAGGTATACTGTATTATTTATTAACAGCATTAACACTAGTGGCTGTACTATCTAGTATATTGAATGTCGTTACTTTTTAGTTTAATTTATATTTATTACCATACTTTTATTATAAAGATCATTTTGCATTATTATTTTAATATATGTATTTAGGACTAACCTAATTTTCTAAGCTGGCCGAATCTTGTGAGATATTATTGGGATTAAGGCCAAAAATATCATTAATAGTGAGGGTACCCAACTGACAAAGCAATGCTTTCAAAACTTTAAAAAAGGTGTTTTAATTTAATTATCTATACTTATCTCTGACGATACCATTCCCAGATAGGGTCTGGATGATGTGTCCAGTAGCAGGTTGTTATATATGCCTATCAAACCGTACACGTAATATTTTGATTAAAATGGTTAACAAAGAAAGTATTAGAGAGATATATCAACTTTTGAAGGGCTATTTCAAGGCGATTGAAATCATTTTAATCAAGATATTTTAATGGAATAAGCAGGAAAAACTGTAGTGACGAATTTTTGTTTTCATTCGAAGATGTCTGTAGTTACATTATGTTTTCAGATGAACTAGATGTATCTATTTTAGGAAAGCTCGTGATGTTGTTTGCTTTCCATTGGTACAACTTTCGCCACCTGTGTTTATAAGCCCCAACTGGCATAGTATTCTTTATCGAGAGACAGTGTGATCGTTTGGATTTCTTCTTGTAATAAACTCGTAAGTACTTGTTTTGTTGATTTAAATACAAGGATAACTTTCAGCGATTTTCAGTAAGTAAAAGCAAATAAACAACAGAAGATAAAGATGATTTTGCAGGTAGTTTTATGTAGACAATAATTGAAGTTTAAAAATTAAAAGTTATTGATTTCTTTGTAAAAACTGTATATGTTGACAATGGTTTGTTCAGAAAAGTCTTCTCTTTTTCTTGAGAAGCGTTTGTATAGAGTAAAATGCCACTATCACTCTTCTTTTACAACAATTGTAACGGTAGTTCATTTCAATGATTTTAATTTTTGTTTCGGTATTCTCGTAGGATTAAGGTTTTACGCGGAGAGGGTTAACTATTCTCGTGGGGTAGAAACGTATATAACAGTTTTGTCCTAAATAAATTCAAAGAAAATGTTATTACAACTATGTTCTACAGTACCCATAAACTTATGAAAGTTAGACGACCAAACAACAACAGTACGCTTTATCTGGAAAAGTTTGACGTGATGTTGCTTACACCAAAACGACTGTCAGCTAGCATGAAGCCGCCTTACCTTGACGATAGGCCTGAAGCATATATAAGTGACAGGCAAGGCTGTTACAATGCCAGAGCAGACGGATTTAGCTGCAGTATCGGCCAGCTCGTTTCCATGAATACAAACACGGCCAGGAATCTGGAAACATTTAACAGAAATGGACGATAAAGTGAAGTGAGCCAGTCTTTTCTGAATGTCCAAGAGAATTGGCGATTCCAGGGTCTTTATAGAGCTAAGCAAATCAGTATAAATCGTATAGTTAGTGTGCTTCGTAACCTCAACATGATCCTACTCAAGTAAAATGGCATATAACTTTAATTCATTTTACATTAGAACTCAAATCTAGAGCGTTCTGTTATGCAGTCCATCAAGCCAAACACTAAGCTACATCCAGTTCATGTGTTGGAGAATTGATGGCCTTCTCCCAATAGGACTTTAGTTCTGCTTGCATAAGCAACCAGTTCAGAATAGATGTGGTCTCTATTGTAGTGAAAGTTTTTAAATAAAGGTCAGCAGGGCCTTGAATCATTGTAAAAGTTATAATTTCTATTAGCATTTTGGAATAAACGTTGAAAGTTTTGTTTTAATTTGTAAGTAGTGTATGAAAGCAACATCAGAAGTGACAATTTTTTTTTGTTAAGAAATGAGTGACCGATGGTACTCTCCATTTGTGTTTCTACGCATTACAATACGAGCCCAAGTGTTGTTTTATTATTGACAATAAATAGTCAGTAGACCATGTTGCATCCTCGTGTATGTCTCTAGGTTCATAACTAAATAAAAATAGTGTGGTGGTTCTACTCTAGCCAGCATCACTGCATCGACAAATATCTGCTCCAGTTTCATCGTGTTAGAGTACTGGAAGTTTATCGTATAACAGAAATAACATTACGCCATCATATCCTGTTAACTTTAGAGGCAGTTTATTTCCCCACTTTCTAGTTTACCATCAAATATAGGTTACTTTTAAGATTAGAAAACAGCTGAGTCTTGTTAGTTAGGAACACAATCCGAAAGTGTGAAATATATTAAACAGTAATAGGTTATGAGCACTTCAACTAGCCGGAAGTTGCAACAAATCTTATTCGAGGTTTTAGAATAACATGCTTCTTATAGTCTCCTTTTTTGATGACTTGATAGGTTATTCAGTATTTACTGCTATTTATTGAAGTACGACTGTCTGTTGTATAATATACAAATAGTTATCTCACTTAAAAGCACTTAAAGAAACAGGTACATCGCAACAAAAACTTTCCATTTATCACTGTTACAAGTTTGAAATTAATTTAGAGAAACTTTGAATCTTAACAAAAAACTAAATTACGTTATCAGTTTATTTGCATCATAATAGATATCTGATATTTTCATAAAATAAGAAACTTGAATCAAAGGTATTATAATAATCCATTCACCAATTCAAAATGTGTGAAAAAAATATCATAATCGCCTTAGAAACGTAAATTCTAGATATGGAACAAATCTTGTCATGACTAAAAATAAGAAACAAATTCAAGCATGAAGGAAAATGTTTAGAGGTCAAGGAATCCATATTACTAAATTTTTAGATTGACACACTCTAAGATCTTGGATATGACTGACCTTCATTGTATTTCAGAATCATTTAATAATATTAATTATTGGTTACAGAAGATTAATACGGCAAAATAAATTAAAAAAAATAATAGAAGTAATCATCCACGAGGTAACGAAACATATTTCCAATAATAATGTACATTTAACAGTGATTAAACAACAGTATTTTTATTTTAGCTACAATAGGCTCTCAATAAGTAATTTATTATAATTTTTTTTAATTCCCCATAGACAGCGCCGAACTGACCATACGGGCAGATAGGATGTGAACCGAGAGCCCGTAAACTTGTCTAATAAAAACAAAAACATAACAACTTTAAAAAAAATATTATATCAAATAAAAAGTTTAAAACGAAAATTGGCTTTTACTTTTTAAAAAAAACTGTTGGGATGGCAGTTTGGCGCGCCAATTAACCCTTTAAACACTGTAGCGAACTATATAATGCTTCTATAGTCATTGTGTGTACAAAAATACTAGTTTAAATTTGTTCTTACATTTAAATAATTAAAGTCAACCCAACACTATTCTTCAAGATTACGAAATATTCTTTTATTTAGATTATAAAATGATTTTTTTTATTTAATTAAGATATTAGATTATTGTTTTCTGTTCTAAAAGTATAAAGTTATAATTGTAACTGTTACTGTACATTTAACATTTGTAATTTAATTTTATTATTATTTTTACTAGTCTTTTTAATCATGAGTAATTACTTTTTGTGATCTAATATTGGTATGATATGAAAATATCTTTTGTTTTAGAAAATTGCTTTGTTTTTGAAAAATAACACAAATAGGTGAAGCTGGTAGGAAATATAAACACAAAAGTGGTGCAAAGAAACGCAAAGAAAGAAAGAAGAGATAAAAAAAAGTTTAAAACTTTAGACTAAAATTAGCACTTTTTAAAAATCATTACAAGAAAATGATACTGATTTTAGATGCAAGAGCAGGTACTTCCAATACACTATCCTACCAAAAGTCATGGGACACAAGTAGTTATGAACATAACATGTATTTATTCCAAGAAATTAATAGTGTTGGCCCGCCTTTGGCCTTAATGACTGCTTCAATGCATCGTGGAAGAAAGTCTACTAATTTTTGGTAAAAAGTTGGTGTTGCTGTGCTCCACTCCTCCTTTAAAGCATTAGTAAGCTCCACTACTGAAGAGGGCCATCTTGGCCTTGCCCTAATTCTGCGTTCCAGTTCATCCCAAAGATGTTTTATCGGGTTGAGGTCGGGGGCTCTATGCAGGCCACTGCAATGTTCCGATGTTATTCTCTTCAAACCACGCGTTCACAATCATTACTTTGGGACATGGAGTGTTATAATATTGGAAGGTGTAAGGGCCGGTACCATAAAATTGCCAAAATGTAGAACACACAAAGTTGTTCAGAACATTAATGTGGGAATCAGCATTCATGGATCCATACACTGCGACCAGTGGACTTAGTCCATACCACGAGAAGCACCCCAGACCATGATACCGCCATCTCCAAACTTCACTGTTGGGACAACACACTCAGGTAATAAGCGTTCTCCAGGCATCCTCTATACCCAAACACGTCCATCAGACTGGAAGAGCGTGTAGCGTGACTCGTCGCTCTACAGAACCGATTTTCATAGATCCACGGTCCAGGTTCGGTGTGCCTTGCTCTATGCTAAGCGATATTGTGCATTTGTTTTGTTATCAACGGCTTGTGGGCTGCAGCTCTTCCGTGAAAATTCATGCCATGCAGCTCTCGACGTGTCGTGGAAACACTTATAGGATTTCCTGTTGCTTCTTGCATCTCCAAACACAGATTCTCTGGAGTCGGACGGCGAGATGTGGTAACCAGCCTTCTCAAGGCACGTAGGCTCCTGTCAGTCAGTATTTTACGTCTACCCGGTGGTTTCCTGGGCTAATTGTCACCATGTGTTCTTCCATTTCTCCAGCACGTTGTCAACTGTCAACCTGGGAATGTTTAATTGCTGTGCAATAGCATATGCAGACATTTTCCCCAAGTGACATCCTACTATCCTTTCCCTCTGAAACTCTGTTAGCTCTTTCTGTGTACTCATCGTTTGGCGTACAATTCTAAATGACCGATAATCACCTTTATAGGCCAAACTATTTTCATATTTCGTTGTCACATCCATTTCCCTACAATTAGAGGTGTGTACTATGACTTTTGGTTGGATAGTGTACATCTGCTACACAGATTGAAGAATAAACTAATATTACTGTTTTACAGTCACCATACCCATCAGATCAACCAAAGGCCACTCAACATTCTCCTGCTAAAATTCTTATGATTCAATCCTTAAATGCTCCAGAAGAAAGTGTTGGTAGTAATGGTACATTGATTGAACAAGAAACTGAAAATACTATGATACAAACACAGATAATACAAGAATCACCTGTAAAAATTTTCTGTCCCAGAACTAAGCGTGCCTTCTCATTCAACAAGTAATTTTTTGAAAAGCCTAAATATATTACAAAAGAACATTTCTGGAAGTTTCATCTACATCAACCAAATAGAGATATACCTTACAGTAGCAGAGTGGTTTACAGTTGCAAATATATTCATGGTAAGGATGTTAAGCGCTTCTGGGTGGCCTATAACAGCAAGAAAAAGAGTTTGCATTGCTCATTTTGTTAGATGTTTGCATCTGAAAGAAATCGTAGTAATCAGTTGATAATAGGGAGCTCAGACTGGAGACATGTCACTACAAGATTACCTCAGGACTCAATACAAGCTTATTTCATGCACCTTCAAGAAAGAACAGTTGAGCACAGATTGTGGCATGATCAGCTGTTAATCCGACAAAGCCAAGTACTTCAAAGACGATCAGTCTTGAGTTGTATTATTGACATTTTCTTCATTGGATTTCAAACTTTGCTTTATCGAAGCAAATATTCAGAAGCAACAGCAAATGTGTTTGATTAAGACCATTTTAAAAATCGTAATATTTCTTAGAAGCAGTTAAATTGATGCCAGAATATAATACAGCTCTGAACGATCACCTGGAAGATTTCACACAGAAGGCAAAGAAGTGGGAACCATCAAAGAGGGTTAGAGGATAAGTGGTTACATTCTTAATTAAAACAACTATCACGAAACTTTTCAATTTCATTAGAAATATGATTAAAGATACTGTGGCTATGGAAGCTAAGAAGGCTGGAATTCATTCATTACAAATGGATTGTACACAAGACTCATGACCAGTGTGCCTTTGTTCTAAGATATGTTGCAGATGACCAGGCCAATTGAAGACTTCTGCGCCTTCTTGATGTAACATACTCTGGTGGGAACAGCTTGTATTCACTACTAAAGGAAATCTTAACTGATGTATGACTTAATCATAAACACTGCATTTGGAGACTCATTTGATGGGGCTGCTAATATGAGCGGTGCATACAATGACTTACAAGCACTAATGAAGGAAGTACGTCCAAGTCATGTCCACACTTGATGATATGCTCACGTTTTGAACTTGGTAATTGGTGATGCAAGAAGTGCCTGTATTGCAGAAGTTAGCCTTTTCGGAATACTCAATGAATTGTCTAATTTTTTTAAAGAATCACACAAATCACGCATGTATGGAAGGATAAAATGAAGTTGGGAGATGGTAAGCTTCGAAAGCTTGACATTCTTAGTCAAACAGGGTGATTCAGTAGAATAGGAGCACTTAGAAACATTTTCGGCAGTTATGGAAATTATTCGAATGAGATGCTTTCTGATCTTCTCATAGTCTTGAAACGAGTCAGTGAATCCAGTGATTTCGGTCAGTCAGTGCAATATGATGCCAAGAAGCTATATGTAAACTTGACCAACTTTGAAATTCATCTATACTAGAATGTTTGACATTACAATTCTTGTTTCTGACTATTTCCATTCATCTGGGCTTAACCTTCTTTAAGCATGGCGTATGATAGATGATGCTACTTTGCGTTTGAAAAAATATTTCTAGAGATTTTGACAGTTTATTTGAACCTACGTCTACATACTAAAACTTAGTCAATGAAAATGTTGTAGAAGAAGAAATTGTAATACAAAATGTTTTCCCAAAGATAATAACTTCTATCCAATATCCAAAAAACAAACTTTGAAATCTCTTGCCACAATGCAGTTTTTGACAAATATGCGTCTACAACAAAGGAGCTAAGCTCTTTGCTCCTTGTATAATTATTTTGTTTGTTTTGACATCGAGCAATTATTTTTACTTAGTTTAATAAAAGAAATATTTGTGTTTGTCTGTTGCATTTTTTCAAATTTTAGGGGGTGGGCATTTTTGAAAGTGACCGATTCCAAAAAATGTTGTCAGTCCGCCCCTGCTCACAGACATTGATTTGTCTTAGTAATAAGTATCTAAATTGGGTCTTTAAGGTATTGTAGCTGATGAACTGTTCTTTATTACGAAAAAATATCTGAGAACAACTGTATAGGTGTTTTCCCTTTTCTGAAGTAAAACCATTCTGTTGTTTTTAGCCATGACTTTGTTATTTCTAGGTGTTTATTAGATTATACTTGTTAGCCATTAAAAAGAAATTCTGAGCATGGAAACAATAATAGATTCAGGTAGTTAGTATAGTCTTGGCCAAAATGTTTGCATAATATTCTATATTGATGTTATTGTCTACATGCATGGAGTAGTTACTGAGTAAATGCCCAAGTAGGAACATAGAAAAGAGTGTATGATCGGACAAACATGTATGAATGTGTATAAGTTTTTTGGGCATTTGTTCGTTAAACACACATACACACCTGTTTTCTATAAAGAGTGTGCTTTTTCGATACTCCTTTTTCGAAACAGATCAAGGCTTTGTTCAGTTTGTTTGTTTTGTTTTTACTTATGCACAAAGCAACACAATGGCTATGTGTGCTCTGCCCATCACGGGTATCGAAACCCGGTTTCTAGCGTTGTAAGTCCGCAGACATACCGCTGTGCCACTGGGGGGCCGACTTTGTTCAAACAATTTCTTTGTACTTGATGTGGAGTCATGCCTCGTCACGTGCCAGAATATATTGGGCATCAAATTGTTCGAATGTCTAAAAATGATATGAAGCAAACAGTCATCACCAGAACCGAAGGATACTCCCATTGTACTGTATCCAGAATCCTTAAACTTCATCAGACAACAGGAAACATTGTTTGAGGAAAGTGTATTGGTAGACATCGAAAACTACTGCTCGAGATGACTGTGTTTTGATCATGTTAACATGTTAAGAAGTCTGACATCAGCTTACGACAGAAATGGCATGAACACATTCATTTCAGGGTATCCAGAAGAATTATGAATAAAAGACTGTCCAAGCAAGGTTATTTTGCAATAAGGTTATTTGCAAGCCAACATTAACCAGAATTCACCGCTTTAACCATGTAACTTGGGCAGGACAGCATGCCAACTTATAGTTAGGGCACTAGCAATATGTAACTTTTTCATGTGAGTACTATTTCCCGCTTGCTAAAGCTGATGGTAGGATCCGTGTTCGTCGTTTGCCTAGAGAACAGATGAAGGAAGATGTTCTTTCCCACAAGAGGTTGTTGCTGTACATGTTTGGGCAGCTATTTATCATGGTGGAAAACTGCTCTTCATATCCTTCAGGGAAACGTCAATGGCGCCTCAAACAGGCATTACATGGACACGATATTTTAGCCATATGCTAGAGCAAGGTTTGGCAATAAGTTTATGTTCCATGATGACAATACCAATTCCCATAATATGTGCATTGTACAGGATTATCTCGACCAGGATGATGTTATAAGGTTTCCATAGCCAGCAAAGTCTCCATATTGTAATCCCATTGAGCACTGCTGTGCAGAACTGAGTCACAAAATTGCTAACTAAGACCCTAAACCAGCTACTGTAGCTGAGTTGCAGCGCCTTCTAATAACAAGTTGGGATAAAATCAAGATGGATTACATCAGTAAACACATCTCCTTGCGAAGGTTATTAGACCACGAGGAGGACCAATCAAGTACTGAATATTAAATATGAATTGATATAAGGTTACAAACGCTATTTATAATAATTTGATGTTATATTTTGTTATTATACACATTTTGGTAAGGTTTTGTTGTGTTAGGTAAAATGCTGAATTACACATCTATCTTCGGGTATCTGATAATATTGTTTGTTGTTATAATAAATCGTTCATGATGTCTACGGAATCTGTTTGACTATATAAAGTACATATGCATTTCGCAGTTTGGAATATAAATGTATTTATATTCCATCTTAATAATGATGATTTTTGTTTTTTACAAAACATGTTATCATTTTGGCCAAGACTACTTTTTGTCCAAACGTTTAAGTAATAACTCGTAGAAAAAAATTAGAGTGGTGCCTTGGGTTTCGAAAATATTTTACTTCCTACCTGGTATACGTTACAGACTTAACCCCAATTAAGAATTGCATAATGTCTAAACTATATAGTAAATGACTTGTTCATATCAAGCAACAACTTTGGGTCTTTAACTTTATTAACGGTAGCTCGTTTCTCCGCGCTTTTTATAGAAACATTAATCTTTTGCTCGTTTATTACAGATTAATGTTTTCCAAAATGTTGAAGATAAATGATACAGGTCAAATGCTTCCACGAAGAAGAATTAATCGGTAAGTTTATTTTTTGACTGGAAGCCAATAATGAGTCTAAAGTAGTATTAAAAAGGTACTAGCTTTTTATACATGATATTTTCATGAAAATAACATTGATGGAGTACTTTTAGGATATTGAATTTGTATAGAATTAAAAAGAATGCATCTAGTTTTCGTGAATATTATTAAACTTGTTTAAACAAACAAGCACATGAGCTATATAAGTAGGGATAAATAGATAAAGATTTAATTTTAAACAAATAACTAATTTTGTATTAACATAACATTTAAATGTCCAAAAATAGCTCTAATAACTTCAAATTTCAAAGCAACCGAAGGTTATTCATGAAATAGAAATGTATATATTTAATGACAGATTTTGTAAATGGGGAACTTACCTGGATAATCGTGTAGTATCTAATTAGGACTAATATGCTTGTGTTCTTGTTTATCATTTTTCATTTCAGTACTATTAACCACTTAATATTTCAACAGAATTGCTTATCAGTTATATTCTTGTTAAAATGATCCATTTTTTAACTTTCTGAAAGTCACAATACTAAACCTAAATAACTTGACAAACATTTTAAACGACATGGTTTATATGACGAAGGCAGGCAAAGCATTGGAAACCAATAGGCTTAACATTCGGGATAAAAATTTCTCTTAGTTTGTCCACTTCGGGTTTCATATCATTGGTGTGTAAAAAACGTAACTTCAGATTTCTTTTTTTTCCAAAAAGTCATTGTCCAGGGTTCATTAGATGGTGGTAGTGGGGTGATTAATCTAAATCTGTAGTTGACGTAATTTTTATCGCAAATGTTAACCATTTTGCACAGTTTAATTCTAAATATCAACTTCTCAAGTTTTCTTACGTTTCTTTAAAAATGGTCTTTCAGTCAAGGTGTTCAGCTATAAAATTTATATCACCTTGTTGATAGTCTTTGTAAAAGAAAAAAGGGTTCGACACTTTGTTATATTAGTTTTTATATACCTTCAGAGTTTTATAGCCTATTTTTAGTAAGGTTTTGTGAAATGTCTCACGTATCAAACTTGTTTGCACTTAAAGGTTTAGTATCTGTAGTCGTTACTTACTACTTTTTAACCGTATATAGTTATATTTTCCACCTATTTGCGTATTAATAGCATATAATGTGTACTTCCAGCGTGCTTAACCGGGCGATCCTAGCCAGCCCATTTTTCCTGTTTCCATTGTTTCTTCTTACCTTTCCAGAACAAATGGGTGAGTGAAGGTTGAATTCTTTCAGTTATTCATTTATTCCTATTAGCACAGTATAATAAAGTTAAGACTGGGTTAACCATCATAATATCAAAGCAAATTTTGAGACATTTTTGAATTTGACACACACATATAAGTCGAAACGTAGGATCTATTTTTGAACTCGCCTTGTTTCATGTGTTTATTATGTCACGTAAACTTCAGAAAGCATTTGTTAAAAATGATAAACTAGGGGCGTCTAAGATTGAAATTCGGTCACATCTCCGATTCCAGTGAAACTGGCTGGATATCAATTTGCCATTATTTGCTACCTAACTTCTGAATTTATTTGAAGGTCCAACGTGGCTATGCTTAGACTATACCACATATTTGATTATTATTTAACTTGGTGAATTTGAAGAAAAACAAAGATGTTTAACGACCAATTAATGTAGGTTTGCGAGACAAAGGAAATTTACTGCACAAAATGTGAAGATAATTTATAAAGTTTCAAAAGCGATTATGACTATTAGGTACTAATGAAAATTTATCCAATTTCTTAAATTGTAAGTGTTTGAAATTTGCCTTGTAAAGCTTGTTGCTAAACAAGAATACTGTACGTATTATCGTGATTATTCCTAGTACCTCTTTACAGTACTACCAGAATTATACTGTTGTTACTATTTTCATGCTTATAAAAGTTACTCTTGAAGTATTTTTTTTTTCGAACAGTGGAAATAAAATTCATTTGATTTAAATCTACATTAGCGACATTTGTAAGATATATTGAGCGGTACATACATAATTTCGGAGACATTTACTTATTGATGAACAATAACACGATTTATTTAAAACTTTTTTCAATGTATAGGTATTCTACATCATTTCAGCCATGTTTAAAAAATGGTAATCTTACTTATTGTCAAGTCTCTCTTGGAAACTTTCATTTTGAAATACAAATGAAATATTGGTGAGTAGCATACCAAATTCACAATTTTTAAAACTATACACCCAAAGTGCTATAAACATGCAGAACTGTTAAAATGATGGACAACAAAGGACCATTTGGTCATTCAGGGCTGTCCTTGTCAAAAGTAAGAATTTTAAATCCACTTTCTACTTTTCAGGAAATCGTCAATTCCCTTCTTAAACTCTTTTAAGTTGCTGGCTACACTACTATCGACAACTCATTACGTTGGCAAATCATTCTTTTAAAATAAAATCTTTAAGTGGACGTTGTCCTGTCTTTTTTATACCTGAAACTTTTCTCTTTTCTTTCACACTGTTGTCTTCAGAATACAACGCAAAAACATCAGAGGCCTTTACCCTGCTGTCCTCCCTGATAATCTTGTAAACTTCAATAAGTTGAAAAATTCTACCCTTTCTTTTCTCGAAGGAACATAAGCTGATATCTTATTCTATCCCTAAAAATACCCGTTCTGTCTCTTAATATTTCTATTTACCACCAATGTATCATCTTGCTCTTCCGATAAATTAATGTCATTTGTTAAGTATTTGTACAACTAAACTATTGATCCAAATATTTCTTTGTATGTTAGTCTCTTCAATATAACTAAAAACATTTGAGTATAATGTCAACAGCAAACAACTAATTACGCTTCTATCAATGAAAATATGAAAGCAGAAGTGCAAGTATTGATCTCTGAGGCATTACACTAGTATATAGGATCTAGTCTGACTGGACTCCATTAACAACAACTCTTGGCTTTCTCTCATCCAACTACCCTATAATCCAATTAACTAGTATTTACCCAATCCATACCGATGCCTTGACGAATCTACTGTGTGGCACCTTATCATTTTTTTATATCTAAGTTCACCAAGTCCCACCCTTTCCAAATGTATAGATAACTAACATCCTTGATTGATAAAGTAAGATTTCACTTCGACCCTATGATGGTTTTCATTTATATATTTCATGATTTTGTAAAGCCTCTTTTAACAGACTCCTCCGCGTTTTGTTTTTTTTCCTACAGAAAGAATAACTGACTTGTAATTCCAAAGTGCAACTCTCATGACTCTTTTCAAAATAGGAATAATATGAGCAACTCTAATCTTTAGGCGCCTACCCACTCTCTGACCTTCCAAAAATAAGCGGTCTACAATATTGAGCTTTGACTTCTCTTTTAAATCTCTGGGGAAAACCTTGTCTAGCATTTCATGTATTGTTTTTTAATCCCTCGGTCTTTTCACTTTTACCCAAAGAGTTTAATAACTATATGATTCAGACCAATTTCAATATTTCCCATAGGGTTTTCATGCTCAGAAATATTACTAATTTCTTATAAAAGCTTTTAGAAAATATTTTCTAAATGCTCAGTCATCTCATCTTAAACAAAAACCTTTTAAACATCTTTTAAGGGCCCGATTTCAATTTTGATATTTTACTTACCTTTGACATGCTAAAAATCCTTGCTGCTAGTTTTTACATTATCAACCACTAGTTTCTCATAATCCTCTTTAGATTTCATAATTTTCTTTAACGTAATTTCTAGCCTTCCAATAGTTATTTATATTTCTTATCTGTCAATGTAAACCTGTTAAACTAATGACATTTAACCTTGATTTCTCTTTTCCTTTGTCCTTACTTTGATTACATGTTTTCTATTTTTTCTGTTTCAACAGTTGTCCAATAAACAAGAATAAATAAAATGGTAAATTAGTATTTACGTCTCAGATATCATTTTACAGTGTTTCTGCTATTAATGAATTTGAATTTATAAATTAAAATAAACGATTGAGACGCCATCAGTAACTAATGCTGTTCATGTTCTGACAAGAGGTAAATATGATTATCAATAGTCAAAAACTAGCTTACGTCTTGTAAGATTTTGTATGCAAGTATACCACCAACAAAAATATTTTTATCCATTCAGTTATTATTTATTTAACTCAAGCCCAAGAGGCAGCCCTACATTTGATGTGGATAAAAAGAAAGAAAAAGAGTCATTCCGAAAATGTTTGGGTTGTTTTGATTAGACAAACAAAAGTAGTTTGACTTCTGAGGTCTAGGTCGCTGGACCTGACCCGAGACCATGAGAGCCAACATGGGAAGTTACAACGAAGTAACAATGAAACATGCTTGAAATGTTTTAGAAGTGTTTGTGAATGTGATGGTTTGAGTGAAGCGATTAAGCTAAACCGCGGGTCCAGGTTGGATGAGGGAAGAACTTATTCGAAGATATTCCAATGGACTTGATATACCAGCTAATTGGAAATTCGTAATTTGATTTCTACATCGACAGATAAATATAAAAAAAAACGGGCAGAATAGCTTCGTTAACTTCAAAAAGAGGGATTGGAATCATACATAAGAAATCATTAGTATCAATATTTTGTTAAACTAACGGCACAGTAAAAGCAGTGTTTAAGTTGAAGCAGATGCACGATGCATTAAAAGATAATTTCCCCTGCGATTCCCAAATTTAGAATGCAACTTTTGCAATGAAGAGTAAATATAAGAGGAATGATATAATGCCCAGTATGGTACCACCATAGTATAATCCATATAGATTTCATCATGCCGTATTTTCATTAATATTTAGTTTTTTCTTCTTTCTAGTTTTCATTTTAGAAGTTGTGCCGAGCGTCATTCATCGAGATCTATCAAATTACCCTAAATCACCGGGTTCCTCAATTATCACCCCCCCTCCTCCCCCTGTTGACCATCCGAGGCTCAGTACTAAAAGATGCTGGGTTGGCTCGTGTGGCAGGTACTAATATCTTTAACTGACATCATGTTTTTTAGAAATTAAAAAAGTAAGTCTTTGAACACAACCTAGCAATGTCGAAACCGTCTCACTCCCTTTGAATTGTTTTGTGGTTAAGCACAAAGCTACACAATGGGGTATCTGTGCTCCGATCATCAACGATATCGAAAGCCGATTTTTTAACATTATAAGTCTTCAAACTTACACCTTAGTCTCTGAGGGGTTTCCGATGTGAAAGGCTTGGTTGTTTTGTTGTCAGAAATAGTGGTTTACTAAGCACTTCATGCTTTCTGAGGATACAAGATCCCCAAAAGTGGAACATAAAAGTTCTAATTTCTGTTTCGAAATAATTGTATCATCTTTACAATAAAAGTATTCCAAACGAAGCTGTAATAAAACGGCAATATTCTGTTTCTATATACGGATAAAAAAGAAATTTTTATTGAGAGTTTCACTGTTATTTTGACATAAATAGACTCTACTTCCTATATAGAATAAATTATTTGTTTCTAAAACTAGTTTTGATTAGTTTGTTGGTTTTAGAGCAAATCGACATTGGACTGTCTACTGTTTCCCAATGGGGTGGCATGGCCAGGTGGTGAGGGCGCTCAACTCGCAATCTGTGAGTCGAGAGTTCGAATTCCCGTCACACCAAACATGCTTGCCCTTTCAGCTGAGGGGGACTTTATAATGTTACAGTCAATCCCACTATTTGTTGGTAAATAAGTAGCCCAAGAGTTGGCGGTGGGTGGTGATGACTAGCTGCCTTCCCTCGTGTAGCTTTACGAGAAATTTAAAACAAACATTTTTGTACGGACCTCTCTTGGTATGGGTATAGAATTAATTGTGGATTATGCAGGAGGTTGATCAGTATGTTGAGACCTCTTTGAACTACATAGCTGAGCACAGCTATTCTTTACCACTTATATTACTTGGTGCTTTAAAGATAAGAAATTTCGATACCAACATAAACCAAAGTCTTCCTCGATAACATAATAAACACAAATCACTTTGGTAATTTTCTCAGAAATGAATACAGTAGAAGATTATGCGCTGTGTGACAAGTAACCCCGAGTGCGGGTTAAGTTGACACACGTTCTCTTAGCAAAGTATTTAACATAACATAAAAATTTTACAGTAGAATATATTTAGCTGCGTACATGAAAATATCGATTTTTACTCTAGCACACAACAGAGACTTCCGATAGCGATGAAATTTCAACAGCTAGTAACCAGTATTTGAACGTGTTAGTCTTCATGATATCATGGTAACCAACTGCAACATATGAAAGT